TTGCAAAGATCACCCCCTCTGCATTCCTCATTCTACCCAGCAGTTGGGGACCCTTGATTATCAGTGGCTGCAGAGCTTGCTTGGTCACTAAAGCAGTACTAAGCCTAACATTTTTGTCCTCTTGGACTAATCACATCATTTCTGTCTTTCCCCATTATCTGTTTCGTAAATGAAATGGTGTTAGTCCACATGTACTGTTAAGCCTCCGGAACCCTGCTTATTGCCTAGGGATGCCAAATTAGAAAGCTTATGGGGTTTACAGTAGCTATATCAGGACTAACCTTTGTCGAGGAAAAGGAATTCTAAAACTAAAAGATGAGGGTGGTGCCTGTCACTGTATAAGGTAGATCTGACCCAGCATAGTGGGGGAGTGGCTTGCCTAGTGGCACAGACCAGCTTTTCAAGATGGCACTTACTGGGGAAGCTGGGGATTCAGGCTTGCACCAGAGGCTAGTTGTTCACACATGGGGATTGCGCATGAACAGGGGTGAAGACTGGATTGGGCAGTCATTCCTTGTTCTATTTTTGAAGTTTTTGCTTCAGCCAGTGTTTCACATGAGTAAATGAAAGATGGCTGATGTCATTCAGTTTAAAATAGGTGTCACCTTTGGGGACATAACCTACTTTGTAATTTTCGTTTGTGTGCTGGGTATTCAGAACTCAGCAGTGAATGTGGAGTTGTGAGACAAGAGAGCAAACGGCTCATTTTGTGGGCTAAAGTGGGACCTTGCTGACCTAGAAAATCCCCCCCTCTTTCTGTTTTGAGGCAGGGTCTAACCGTGTAGCTCTTTTTGGCTGGCCTTGAATCTGCCTGTCTCTTCCTGAATGCTGAGATTTAAAGGTGCTGCTATGCCTGTCCTGGGAGGTAGACTTGCCACAACTTGATTTCTTCTAGTTTGGTAAGAGGCACTGAGTGAAGAGTTAAGATGTGTTTATGTTTCTACCCTTAGAATGAGAGACTGAGAACTCCTTCTAGTCTACTTGTGCACGAAGATCCTGTAGGGCAGACAGTGCCTAATGCTGAGGAGGTCATGTAGGCTCTGTCAGGTTCTATTAAAAAAGTGGGCAGGTGTGAGGAGGAAAGTTCAGGGAGATATGCAGGAAGAGCTTGCAGGTTAGCAGAGGTACCCTCCACTCCTTCCTGTAGATTAGGAAAGCGCAAGGCTATAACAGGCTGTGCCTGCCTAGAAGAAGCCAGTGGGTGATGCAGTAAGATCCCTTTGATTACTCTTGAGCTGTTTATGAAGTAAGGTCATTAATGAGAGCGTGGACTTGTTTGAGCTTAGCCATCCTTAACTGGCCTTGATGCACAGGGGACATGCTTCGGGCGTTCCATGCAGCTCTGAGGAACTCTCCAATCAACACGAAAAATCAAGCTGTGAAGGTAAAGATGCTGTGCGGCAGCTCTGCCTGGTGCTCTCAGGACCAGGGTTTTGTGGCCTCACCAGCAGCATGAGCTCCTTGGGGCCTGGACAGCAACTCTACATCAGTGGGAGGGAGGTGCTACTGGGCATTGTTTTCTACTGAAGCCACGTCTATTCCCCAGATACTGGCGCAGTAGGTTGCCTGATAACCTTGTAATCTGCAGAGTCTAAGGCCTTACTGATGTATCAAAATTAATGACACATGAGGCTGGGCTGAGTTCAGTGGTAAGGGCTTGTCGAGCATATGGACTGCCCTGGGTTCAATCCCTGACACCAAAAAAAGTCATATTTACCCGCAGTAAACTAATTGTTCTCTTGACACTAAGTGAAATCACTTGCTTGTAGAAATACGGTATTCAGTGAACTGTAAAGCCAAAGAAGTTGAGCTCATCTATGTAGCTCTGCTCTAGTTCAATTAGAAATGGATGGTGTTTCTGTCATATTTTGTCCAGTGGTATTCTGTAACAGTGTTAGGATTGCTACTCCTGGCCTCACTCACTTTTTCTCTCCTCTGTAGGACCGAGCCCAGGGTGTAGTCTTGAAAGTACTCACAAACTTTAAGAGCAGCGAAATTGAGCAGGCTGTGCAGTCACTGGACAGAAATGGCATTGACTTGTTAATGAAGTACATTTATAAAGGGTTTGAGAAGCCCACAGAAAATAGCAGTGCAGTGTTACTCCAGTGGCATGAAAAGGTATGTGTGACTACATTGTTCCACTGCAGCTTTCAGTTCACCCAGGGTTCATATTGTCATGTCAGATTCAGAAGATGTAGGATGGTCTTATGGCCATTAGGAATGGCAGGACTAAGCTGTGACATTGTAGTTTCTCTGCACTCTGGAAGCAGCTCATCAGGATCTTTAAATACTGGCAGTCATATTATGTTTGCGTTTTAGCTGTGGATTTAGGCTAGGCAGGACAGACTACGCTTGATACAGGACACAAGACAGGTGGCATGGTGAGGTGGGAAGGGGCTTGATGTTTTCTTTTGACTGTGGAAGAGAGCTGCTGCAAAGAGGGAGTTGACGACATTTTAGAGATGCAGGCCCAGTCTCACTGGCAGTTGGCAGAAATCTGAGTCATTTAATATGACTGTCATTCACTTGAAGCAAAAAAGGCTTTTTTGTCCTTAAGTTGAAGGGTATAGGACTAAGGCCATATGTCAAGCTTTTGTCCTGCTTATATATCAGCTGACCCCCCCACCCCCCAATACTTAAGCAAATACACCCACCACTTAAGGGGACCAGTCTGTGATGAATACAGTTTTTTTTAATTATTTATTTTTATTTTATGTGCATTGGTGTTTTTCTGCATGTATATCTGTGTGAGGGTGTCAGATATCCGGAACTGGAGTTACAGCCAGTGCTCTGAACTGCTGAGCCATCTCTCCAGCCCTCCATGAATATGGTTCTTGCCAAGAGGTTCAGCATGGGGTTTTTTTTAAGGGTCTTATGTAGCTCAGGTTAGCCTCAAATTTGTTTAACTGGGGATGGCTTTGAATTTGTGATGTTAGTGCAGAGATTGCAGGCATGTGCCACCATACTGCGTTTATATGGTGCTAGGATGGAATCCTGGACTTCATGTATGCTGGCTAGATACTCAACCACATCTTCAGCTTGAGATTTTTTCCAGTGCTAGAGGCAGAACCAGGGTTCTGGTATGTGTTAGGCAAGTGTGTCACTAACACAGTACTGAGTTTTAAGAGTGCTTTTACTAGTAGGTCAGTTTGCAGCCAAGTGTTGGGCTATGGCTTCTGGTCCTCCTGGTGGGCGGTGCCTGTGCTCAGAAGTTGCTGGTGGTGGTGACTCTCAGGTGGTGTGGTAGCCAGGTTCTTTCACCCCTGTGAGGTGACTCTGTGTCTGTCTGTCACAGGCTCCATGGGCTACTGTGTATGTCCATGGATGGGTAGGTGCTGGCAGGCTGAAAGCAATGAGCTTGTTATAAGGAAACAGACTCTGCTTTGTGCTTGGGGTCCTAAGCCAGTTCTGTTGCTTCAAGAGTTGGCAGCTTTTGGGACCCTTGGCTCCAGGACAGTGCTCTCCCTAGAACTTGATCTTTCTCAGCAAGTCTGTGATGTGGTGGGATTTAGGTCTGGGAATTCTCTCTCCAGGTGAGTGAAGCTCCCCTCTGGCCAATCAGGTACCCTTTGACATGTATCCTTTTCCTGTTCCCACAGGCCTTAGCTGTAGGAGGACTAGGCTCCATTATAAGAGTTCTCACAGCAAGAAAGACTGTTTAAAAAAAAAAAGAATCATATTATCTTGAGAAGAATTTTGGATGCCCAGGCTGGTGAAGAAGGGACTGACAATGGACCATCTTCCTGAACTCCCAACTAAATATTTCAGGAAACATATCTGCTGAAATGTATTTTATTTTTAGGTGGAAGGAGAAATTGTCTTATTGTTTCCTAAATTCTTTGCAGGATCAGTGTCTCTGCCTTTGTCTACAGAGTAATACAGAACAGACACTTGACTATCAAGACTGACTTGACTATCAAGATTATGTCAGGTGTACCTGTGTATACTTTGTTTGCAATGGGGAGGGACTATTTGGGCAGGTGCAGATCCAAGGGCTGCTGTGAAAAGGAGAGCTTGGGTTCTGAAGTGGAAAACCTGAGAGTTTGTACAGACACTGTCTTGCAGAGAAGACAGGCTGTCTTGGGTTCATTGTAAAGTGCCTGCTGCATCAATAAAGCTCTTGGCTTATTTGTCTATTCATTTCGGTGTGTTCTCTGTATGTTAAATGGTAAAGAAAGGGATGGTAATGAATGATAATTTGATGGTTTGGAAAGCTGATGTGGAAGGGGTATAGGTGTCCCTGTCCTGCTATCCCTGGGGGGTTGGCAAGTATGGCAGAGCCACTGCTGTACCACACTGACCACATTGATGGATGTGCTACCAAGAGGCATTTTGCTGAGTATCTATTGTTTTTTACTCTTTTGATTTGTATGTAATTTTTGAGCTTATTTAATAAAATGTCAAACATTTAATTGATTGAGGCTTCAAAGGTCATCCGTTTGTGTGATTACAGTTGGAGTCTTGGGCAGGTTCTCTTGGTGTAGGGTCTGATGTACTGCAGAAGTCTTTGTCATGCCTTGACAACTTTTCTTTCGAGAATAAACCCCAGCAGTTGAATTAGCTATTAGCCATAAAGCAAGTGTTCCTGGGTGTCCTAACCGCAACTTCAATGCTGGCAGAGGCTTCCATTTCATATTTCTGCAGCTCTGTGGCCAAAGTACCATAGGCCTTGTCCTTCCCAGACTGTCCACAGAAGCACTGATGCTTGAGAAGTAGGGATGAGGCTGTGGGCTTCGTTAAATCACGTTTATTCACTTCAAATCTGGGAAGCTTGCTTCCTTTTGAAAAACAAACATCCGTAGCCCTTGAAATTTTAAATACAAAGCCAGGCAGCACTTGAGGCAGAAGCAGGCAGATCTCTTGAGGCCAGCCTGGTCTACAGAGTGAATTCCAGGACAGCCAGGGCTACACAGAAAAGCCAACCCTACCTTGAAAAACCAGAAAAACAAAACATATCCCAAAATCATATCTCAAGCTTTATCAAGTAAAACTCACTGTAGTTACATCTTGAAGAGCTTTAATCAAAAAGTATTGCACCCACAAATGACTCAGCTACAGCAGTTCTTAGATAATACCATCGATCCCTATTTACATGGGTAGTAAGGTCACAGTCCAGTGCTCACATAGAAAGGGCTACACATACTGTCACCAAAGTTTATAGAAGGAAAGTGCACCAAGCCACTTGGAATAGCTACTGCAGTCTTCTAGTGCTGAAGGAGCTCAACATGCAGCAGGAAAGCCATTTAAATGAGAGGACCCACAACACACCTCAACCTGCAGGCAGAGATGTGCGCGCACGTGTGTGTGTGTGTGTGTGTGTGTGTGTGTGTGTGTGTGACAGAGAGAGAGAGAGAGAGAGAGAGAGAGAGAGAGATAGACCAGCTCAAGGGGCTGAGGGCTGAGAAGCCTCAGGCTTAGAAAGGGCTTCTGAAGCTGGGATTGCTGGGAAAGAAGGAAATCCTACTTGGAGACGCTACATCTTCCTCAGTAAAAGTGATAGAACAGTGGGACTCTGGTCTTATGTTCCCACTAAATGGGAAGGAGCACCCTAAAGGGAAACTAGGAGCCAATGCCATCCTGATTTAGAAGGCAAATGCTGTAAACACTTGGATTTCTTTACAGCACATTATATGTATATACATACATATATTGACCTTAAGCTGAAAAATTTACCTACATGGTAACGTTAGAAGCTCCAGTTATTAGTTTGTTAATGAAACTTTCCTCAAACTCAAATCAAATTGTTTCCCTTGAGATCTGATGTGGCTTATCCAGAACAAGTGTGGAAATGAACACAAGATTCTAGCATTAGCTAAAAATGAGGTGTGTGCTATTAAGTGCGTCAGCCAGCTGGGCTGTCTGGATGCCACCTATAATGTAGTGTTAGATACTGGGGTAGGGAAGTGAAGTAGAAAAAGTGATTGGCTTTTGTTTTAATAAGATAGAATTCAGAGCAAAGCCAGAGAAACTCCACTGCTCCAGAAAGGCAGGTGCCACAGAGGTAAGCAAAATGACAAAAGGGCACAAGAAAGACCTGGCGCTCTGGGTCTCCTTCTCAATGGATTTTATAATACAGAAGTCATGTTTATAATAGTGAACTTTTGCTATAAAAAATAGTTTAAAATGGTTTACCAGCAACCCATCAAAACAAGTACATTCATTAAGAAGGCAATTGAGTGTATTTGGTGCTATATGTAGAGATCTCACTCCGTCTGCTTGCTAGTTTTCTCAGGACTGGAAAGTTGCGTACTCATCAGTTCACGTTGGCCCCGTTATCTCTGAGATGGACACATCTCAAGTTCTAGGTGATTGGGGAACAAAGTGAAATGATACTTTCTTGAGAGACAACATCACAGAAACCCCGACTGCTAGTGGAAGGGGACTTCAAAGACCACCCTTGAGTTGGCTTTTTACAAAAGAACTGGCTCCACCTTCAGCCATGTCACCATTGTTTGATAATTAGTTGTTACCTGACATGCCGATCATTTCAATTTTAAGTGCTTATGTTAAAAGAGAGGACTCAACTGCAGCGGGCCAGAGCTGGGATATTAGCAGCACTGTGAAGATCTGGGCAGAGCCCAGGATCGCTCTTGTTTGGTGACCAGAATGACAGGGCTGGTTTCCTTCTGAAGTTCACACCAGCTTGCAGAGAGGTGGGCCTAAGGTCTTGTAAACAGTATCTAGACACTTGTACAAAATACTGCAGTTACAGCAATGAAAAACCCACCCAGTCTGGTGTGTCAGTGTTCTTTTCACAGAAAGTGTCAGCCCATGTAGCTCTATCCTTGGGTGGTTCTAGGACCATGGTATCCGTGGGTTGGAGATAGACGGCCGGATGCTGCCCTTGGGAGCTGGTTTGGATCCAAACCAAGACATCTGCAATTGAAACAGAAAAGGCTTCTGAGCTGAGAAACAACTGGGAGCAGAAACAGCCCTTGTCTTCTAGTCTTCCCAGCTGGTCAGAGGAGTAACCCAGAAGCTTCAAATAAACTGGTCTGCAGGGCCAAGTGCCCAGATCAGGGAAAGAAATGGTGGTAGAAAGGAATTGCACTGATGAGGAGAGGAACTGGAAGAGATTTCTGCCATTCTATTACAGCATTTATGCAGATGCCTTAGCATTCTCACAAGGTTTGTTGTGCTGGTGACTGAAGCTGAGACCTTGCACATAACAAGGCAAGCACTTTACCACTGAGCAGCCCAGGAAAAAAATGAAGGAAACAAAATGAAACACTGTTGAATGTAGGTGCCAGGTCAGAACTGGAGCAGGAGAGGAAGTGCCATCAATGAAAATGCAGTGATGAACAAAGTCTGGCATCTGGTGGTAACAAAGAACACTGGGCTAAAGAATGTTCTTTGGGGGCTGGAGAGATAGCTCGGTGGTTAACAATTCCCGGCAAGCACATGGTGGCTCACAACCGACTATAAGGAGATCTGGCGCCCTCTTCCGGCCTGCAGGAATACATGCAGAGCACTCAGACATAAAATATAAATAAAAGAATGTTTTTTGAACTGTCTGGTCAATTTCATATTACAAAAGCAAATAAGTTGCTGGACAATGGTGGTCCAAGCTTTCAATCTAGCACTCAGGAGGCTGAGCCAGGCAGATCTCTGTGTTCACAGCCAGAGCAGGTTTCCAGAACAGCCAGAGCTACATAGAGAAACACTGTCTTGAAAACCCAGAACCAGCCGGGCGGTGGTGGCGCACGCCTTTAATCCCAGCACTCGGGAGGCAGAGGTGGGCGGATCTTTGTGAGTTCGAGGCCAGCCTGGTCTACAAGAGCTAGCTCCAGGACAGGCACCAAAGCTACAGAGAAACCCTGTCTCGAAAAACC